GGGCAACTCGCGGCACCAGCTGGGGAGGTCCTCCCCTTCCGAATCAATACGGCCCTGCCACACCAGAACAAATGGCAAAGGAGTCAGAAGAAGAAGCGACTTACGAATTCATGGGAGAAGCAGCGGAATTGCCTTAACCTAACCAGGACCCGGAGCCGCCAGAACAAGGACCACAAGAAATTGAGGTCATCGGTGCCGAATACAGTTACTTCAGAATCCCCATGAAGGGACTCCCAGTTCGCAACTGGCCCAACCAGTACCTGCTTGTTACCGGAGACCAAGCCGAAGCCGGCGACATCGACGACATCATCAGTATTCCTCACGCGCTTCTGGAGCGAAAGTCAATTCACGCACTCGCCGTCGATACCGACGACGCCGCCGATGCGAGACCTGAAGGGGAGGCAACCGACGAAGCAGCGCGACACAAATATTATCAGAAAACAGTCGGCTACCGTGCGGAACCAGAAACATGGCATCAACGGCTCGGACACCCCTCTCACGCCACGCTCAAAAATTCACTCAAGGCTGGAGTCTTCGACGACGACGCACTACTCCTACCCCGAAACGGCTCCCTCACCGCGGACTCAGCTGATCCACCTTGCACCGTCTGCCCAACAGCATCGCTCACCCACAAGCCTTTTCCCGACTTACCTCTGGGCTACGAACGCTACAAGCCGCTGGATAAAGTTTACAGCGACTTTATGGTTCTCAGTCAGGAAGGTCTTGACGGCGAACATTATACGCTCACCTTCATCGACGCCTTCACTCGCTATATCTGGGCTGTCAACACTGACTGCAGGTCGTTCGCCTTCGAGTGCTTCGTTGCGTGGATGAAGCGGGCTGAACGACAATCAGGATTAAAACTCAAGGCCTGGCAGACGGACGGAGCCTTAGAAACTTCTCAGACAAGTTCAAGGAACTCTTCAAGCAGAAGGGGATTGAGCACCTGGTGTCCCTGCCCTACGCTCACCAACATCAGGGTGTAGCAGAACGGACAAACAGAAGCCTCGCCACGCGGATGAGGGCCCTAATGAAACAGTCGGCCATCCCAACCAAATATTGGCCGTTTGCGATGAACCACGCTGTTCGGCTGCACAACTTGTTGTCCTCGCGAAGCCTCGAGAACAACAACTCTCCCTACCGGGCATGGACGGGCAGAAAAGCAGACACGCGTCTGCTTCGGGTGTTCGGTTGCATGGTACAGTACAGACCCCACACTGCAAGGACCGGAAAATTTGCTGGCCGGGCACGATGGGGTATCCACCTCGGGATCGAAAAGGAATTCAAGGCGTGGATCGTGCTGGACTACGCGACACACGAGGTGACGAAATCACGTGACTGCATCTTCTACGAGAAGCTGACTCTGCCCCTTTTCAAGGAACACCAAGAAGCCGACAAGCTACCAGATAGGCTCTTCGAGGGCCATTGCAGCTTCGCCACGTCACACGACGAAGCTGACCTGGCGGAAGATGCAGACGCAGCTGATGTCACCCAAATGGACTCTGCCCCGAACATCCCCCTTACAAGCCCGCTCAGAACTCCAACATTTATACCTCTACACCAACCCGATCCGGACGATATAACACGCGAAGCTCATGACTACAACAGTGAGGCGCGCCGATCCCCGGACACCGAGTTACCGCAGCCCAACTCCTCGCAAGACACCCTCTGCCTCGGCAACGAAAGTGACGACGACGTGGTTGAAGTTACCAGCCTCCACGACTACGATCACCTGCATTACGAAAAGACAAACGAAACCGGCCTTCGTGTTCTCGGTCTCGCCGTCGCTGTTCGCCACACATCTCCCAAAGAACCGACCACTGTCCGCCAAGCTCTTGTCAAAGCAGTAGATTAAGTTCAGACGCCATGGCTAGGGTTTGACCAAAGCGAGAGTAGCGAGAGAGACTTGGACCAACAAAAGAGGTGGTTCACTATAGAGCAAGCAGTACAAATAAGCAAGCACAAGCAAGAATGGTGCACCACCAACTAGAAAGGCTATAACTACAGTACCCAATCCTACAGGCTGTTACATATAGAAAATATAACTAATATTTTCGGACACTCCCCCATAACTGCCTGTAGGATAGGAATATGCAGTAAATGCCCCCTGAAGCGGTACACCAAGAGTGCGCAGCGGAAATTGCAGCAGCAAGCAAGTGCATTCGCAGCCAGTGCAGTGGTGGCAGATTCAGCTGCATCAAACCCTCAGCCAAGGCAGAAGCAGAAACAGGAGCAAGTGGCGGCAGGTCGCCTGAGGAGCAGGCTCTGTGGCTGCAACAAGCAGCAGGACAGCAGCGGCTCGACGGCAGCACCTGCAGGCCACAGCAGCAGGCAGCAAAAGCAAGGGCAGGTGGCAGCAGGGGCGGCAGCTGGAGGTGCCACGAAAGCAGCAGGCGGCAGCAGCAGATGCCTGGCTCACTTCCGCCACCCTCTCTCACCCTCCCCCCCACAGCTGCACGCGCAGCAGTGAGAGAGAGAGGAGGGGGGACGACTGTTGGCGCAACAAACTCTCTCTTGCCACCCCCTCACACTCCCCCCATTCCCCCACAGCGACAGGCGCTGCAGGGAGAGAGGAGAGAGAGGAGGGCATCGGCTGGTTCCTGCGGCTGCACTCCCGCCACCCCTTCACCCTCCCCCCCACAGCGACAGTCGCGTATGGGGCGACAAATGATGACGGCAGCTGCTGCAGGCGGCTCACTGCGGCCTCCCCGTCACACCACCTCCCCCATAGTCCGCCACTCCCACGACCTCCCCCCACAGTAGGAGTGAAGGAAAGCAATAAGATCAGTAAATATAATAAACGCACCTACATAAAAATTAGGCCTTATGAAACGACACCACGTCAGTTTCTGCAGGGATCAGACTGCTCTAAACTGAGTGTGAGAAAAAAAAGAACGAAAACATGAAAATACGAGGTGGTAAAAACGCTATCGACGAAAAGGAAAAGTAAGGACGATGGATAGAGGAAACGGATGGCAGATTATGCACGAAAAAACGAAACCAAAAGAATACAAGAAAGATAAGAAGTCTTTACAAAAGGCCCTAAGCTTAAACAACATAGTCTAGCTAATAAGTCATCCTTTTACACAGTTAGGTATGAGATTACTAAACGCTTGTCTATCTAACACTCATCAACTTAGTTGGAGTTGAGCAGAGGAGTAGTTAGGGGGGAGCTTAGGCAGTAATGCTTCTCACCTTCCTCTGGTAGGTGGGGTGGTGACCGTGACCAGCGAGACAAAAAAAGAGCGCACAAACCCTAAGGTAAGTGAGCATTTCGTCGCGTCAAAATTTGTCTCAAAACTTTTGGCTAGCAATAAAGACATATGTGATAGCGTAGTCGTTTGAAAATCGAGTTTGGAATCGAGAGAGCGCAGTTACGACTTTCGCTGCGATCAATTTTGCAACAATCAACCAGAGATAGAGATATGTACTCGGTATAAAAAAATTAGCAATCATGGGAAAGGAACCCATACTTGGTGTTACGCAAAACGCTTCGCAACCCTAGGACGACCTTGTCGCCTCTTTTTTTTTTTGTTAAGATTATATGAAAAGTATACACCGAGTGAGCAAGTATATACCCCATAACGGTCGTAACCGCGCGTGAGGAACAGAGGGTGACCTACTACCCCAGATGAGATAATTTAAGGGCGGGAAATGCTAGCCCTCCTCCTGGACCACAGTGCCGCGAAAGCACTTGTCCACTTCCAACTCTTGCCAGCCATCTTGATCTTCCCCAACATGATCTGCTCCTCCAAGGGATTTTTCCGATGCCGCTTATGGCTGGCTGCCCCAAACTTCCGAGTGTAGATCCGTGCGTGTTGCCTGAATGCGAACTCAATCTTGTGAAGCACTCGGTTCGTGCGAAATTTCTGCCCGCGGAAAACAGCTTCGCACCGTTCAACCCACAGCTGATGAAATGCGATGGACGTGAGGGTCAGCTCCGGAAATGCTGAGCTGGACCCCGTTTTCCGGAACAGTAAGTCCCCAAGCGTGTCAATTGGGCGGTTGGGATTCAGCATGCGCAGAGCGCGCCTGAGAGCCGAGGTTACAGTCTGTATTCGAGGACAGAGGAGGAGGCAGTGGTCCAAGGTTTCCTCCCCCGCGCAGTAGGGGCAAGCCGGTTTTCCGCTTAGGAACGCAAGCCGCTCCCCCACCTGCAAATTCAGGCCGTGGATACGAATGAGAACGTCACGTGGACGGCTGGGCACCGCCAACGAGTCCCGCGACGAAACCACCCTCTTCCAGTTGATTGGCCTCCCCCATCTTCTCACCCACTTCTCTCGCTTGCTTGATTCCTGGTACGCCCCTTTCCAGCACTCCCTCATCCTCCTGATGGAAATCACCTCCCCTCCCTCCAGAATGTACAGCGGGGGGTTAGAGGTAGCTGAGCAGGGAGGGACCGAGGCAAAACCCAACAGCTGCAGCCAGGGCGCTGGTAAAGTGGTCAGCGCCTTCACCGCCAATCTTGCTGGACCGCTGCCGCCGAGCTGCTGCGACAGCACCCGTTGTTGCTTGAGCACGAGATCACCCCTAACATCCGTCTCCAGCAGATCGCCGACCCGCACCTCCCATAGGCCCTTACTATCCTTTTGCCCGCCAACCGGTGTCTGTAGCAGTGATGCGCTGTTAAAAACCAACCGTTCCCTTAGAATCCCTGCTCTGCTGACCGCCGCAGGCCGGACGCAGAGTGGTGAGTTAATAAGACTCTCGCATGTTTGCTTCCATCTGGCGCTCCTCCCCTCCCAGTGTTTGAGCAGGTTTACGTGCGAAGAGAAGGTGTCGGCGCCCAAGGGCAGATCAGCTGCCTGCCTCATGATCTCCTTCTTCATGGGATTCCGCTCTGTAAGATAGAGACCCACCCGCCTGGCAGCAAGGCAGGTGATCAAGATCTCCGGGTCCTTTACCCCAATGCCACCCGCCTCCCTTGGGGTATACAACAGCGTCCTGCTCCAAAGAATGAAGCCCTTCACCGTCGCCACCCGATTACCCGACAAGAAACTCTACAGCAGCCTGGTAATCTCCTCCCAGATGACCGAGGGCGGGGGGTATATTTGCGCTTGGAAAGCCAGCAGCGGGGTGATGTAGCTATTGACCACCGTAGCTCTTGCCGTTAACGTGAGGTATTTCAACTGCCACTTCGTTAGTTTCTCCGTGATGTGCACCCATTCCTTCTCCCAGGTCGGCAATCCGTTACCCGAAGGCGTTACCCAGACTCCCAGCAGGCGCTCCGCTTCGTCCGCGCCGGCCCATTTGAAGCTGCTCGTGCCATCACCTTTCGCACCCAGGTTCGTACCGAAAGGTAACAGCACCGACTTCGATTTGTTAGTTGCCAAACCGGACGCCTGTTCAAACCGGTCCAGCACCTCCTCAGCTTTAACTATTTGCTCTGTCCCTTGCAGTGCCAACGTCGTGTCATCGGCGTAACCGAGGTAATTGAAACGCAGATTATGCTTGGACAGACCAAGCTCCTGCCTCTCCACTTCCCTCGCCAAGGGCTCCACCGCGCAGAGAAAGAGGTACGGCGCCAACGGACACCCTTGCCGCACGCCCGACACCACTTCCACTCCTTTCCCCAGCCAACCGTTAACCAACAGCTTCGTTGATGTGTTCTCGTGCAGGCCCCTGACCCAACCGACAAAGCGATCCGGAAAGCCCATCCGAGCCAAGACTTCAAATAAGAAATTCCTCGACACCGAGTCGAAAGCTTTCTGAAAGTCCACCAAGAGAAGATACCAGTCCTCGTCGCCGTTTTTTGCAGCATCGATGACATCCGCCACCAAGGCCACCGCATCCGAGAGACGGCGCCCCGGAATGAACCCATACTGCTCCGGGTATATGACAAGATGAAGCACCGACTTCATCCTATCCGCCACCACTCTCGCCAGAACCTTGTAAGTGAAGTTAAGCAAGGTGATCGGGCAATAGTTGTTGAGCTCATCCTTCTCCCCTTTCTTATGCAACAAAATGGTGACCGCCTCCTTGGTTGCTGATGGCAGGGTGGCGGACGCCTCAAAACTCTTCACCAAAGCCATGAAGCTCTCCCCCAACAGGTCCCAGTGAGCCTCGAACAGTTCTTTCGGCAGCCCGTCCCCGCCAGGAGACTTGTTCTTTGCCATCGCTGCAAAAGCCTTTTTGACTTCTTGCTCTGACCAGTCAGCTGAAAGGATCTCTGCAACCGCATCATCCAGCCTTCGAAGCGTGGTAAGGTTCCAGTCCGAGAAGTCGGTGCGGCGATCCTTGCCGAAAATGTTCCTGAAGAAGGCGGAAGCAGCATCCAGGATCTGCTGCGAGCCGGTCACCCGACCCGCACCGACCTTAAGTTCTTTGATCTGGGTACGAGCCTTCCGTGCCCGAACCTTCGCCGATAGATGCTTCGAGGCCAACTCCCCCATCAGCTCTGCCGTAAGACCAGCCTAAAGGTACAGTCGCTCAGTCCGTGAGGCGTTGTACTCTTTCAGCTTCGTCTCTTTTGTCTCCAGCAAAGCCCGTGTGACCGTGCAGTCCGGATTACGCATCATCTCCTGCTTCAGCAGCGCCACCGTATTGTTTAGATGCTTCAATGTCTGCTTAACACGTTTGCTCTCCTCCTTTGCGTAAGTTCTTAACCCAACTCCCAGCCTCCTCAGGAGCAACTCGAAACTGCAGCCATCATTCACTGGGGTGCGCCGCACTGTAGCCTCAACGATCTTCCGAACGCCCGGCCGATGAATCATCGAGGCGTGTAAGCGCCAAAGACCAGGCCCTTTGCAATGCTCCTCATCAAGCCGGAGGGCGATCGAAATCGCGTAACCGTGGTCTGAGACGGGTTCGTCAGGCATGACATGTGCGGAGTAAGAAAGGTAAGGAATGAGAGATTGGGAGACTAAGGCTCGATCGATGCGGGTGCTAACTCTGTGGCTTTTTGCGAAGAAGGTATACTCTCTGCACCCGGGATGCAGTATTCTGAAAGCGTCAGAAAGCTGGAAGGCTGCGCAGCGTTGAAAGAAGCGTTCGTTTTCTAAGGCTTTGCCGTGACCCCTAGAGTTGTCTAACATTGGGTTTTCTATAATGTTCAGGTCGCCTATCAACAAGAGGTGTTCTGACGAAGGGATACTGTCTAGGAGGGAACCTAAGGAGTCACGGAAGAAGGCTGTTCTAGCTGGGATACTGGAAGGGAAGTAAACGGCGAGGAGGATCAGGTCAAGACCGAGACCTCTAACTGAGGTTTGAATGATCCTGCCTGACTGGTGAGCTATGGTGTCATGAAAGGTGAGAGCGGGGTTACGGCTGAGGACCGCTACCCCACCAGCGCTAGTTCTAGGAGCAGTGGCTATGAATGATGTTGCTGAGAGTGATGTCCAGTAAAGATGGTCCGAGTCTAATCTTGTATCTACTAATACTGCAACGTCTGAGCCCGTCATGAACCATGATCTAACTCTATTCTGCTTGGTGTTGTTGCTGCCTAAACCGTTGACGTTCAGGCTGGAGAAGGTGAGATGGTTTTTGATATTCATGGGTAAACCGGCTTGCAGCCCTTGATCATCCACAGGCTGATAAATGAGACAGAGCAGGCGACGCTAACTCCTAAACACCAACATGCAGCTGCTTCCAGGTAACGCTCGAACTCTGTCACAGGCCATAGTCTTTGCGAATGCTGTCCGCGTTCAACTTGTCGAGTGACGCCTTCGTCGCTGAGCTTCCCTTCGACAGCTCTAGCAGGTGAGCAGCTGCCGAGATGTGAGCTGCAGCAGCAACAAGACTCTTCCCCTTCGCTTTCCCGCAGCCTTCTTGCGTGCAGATCCAATCTTCCCTGCTGCTGCCGGTAGAGACGAGCGCTATAGCCGGATCTCGAAGGATGGGAAGAAAGAACGAGGACGCTTTCAGCGACGCAGCTGCGGAGGGACAGAGACAGGTTAGTGCGTGTGAGAGAGAAGTGGAGCGGAAAGCGAGCTGAAAGAAACCTGATGCCGTTACCGTTGAGTCTGTGCAATTTGCCCAAATTGAGGTTCCATTTGCTAACATTATTCTGACGCTCAGTGACAAAAGCATCATGATACTTATCATAATGCTTGCCGCCACAGAGCGAACAGGATAAGGCCGGGTAGTGGATCAACAACTTCCTCGCGCAGTCAGCAGGGTCTGCGATCGAGTGGATCCAACGACGATTGCGGTTCTCCGGGTGAGCATACACCAGTCCCATCACGACGTCCGTGTCAGCACCAGTAACCGGATGCAGCACGCGATGCAGACAAGTGCAGCGCAGGAAGGCCGAACGCCGAGTACACGTGAGCGGGTAAGTAGCCATACGGTCGTGGATCATGATCAGCTCAACTGCAGCAGAGACGTCCTTAATCATGAAAACGATCGCATGCGGGTTGAGCGCCTTCTCGCGGGCAAAAGTAGGGTCCTCATCATCTGGGTCGTCATCAATGAAGCCATCATCTTCGGTAAGGCCGACTGATGGAATGGTGACCTTGTCCGCAGCGGATAAGCTGGAGCCGCCAGCGACTGATGAGTCGATCTTGTCCTTGTCTTTGTTCGCAGGGTCCTGAAGACCGGCAGAGTTAACAGCACCCGTGGAAGCAGACTGATCAGTAACCAGGCGGGAGCGCTGACCCTTCGGCAGAACCAGGACATCGGCAGGATGAGCCATCGTGCAATGATGAGAATATACAGGCTGCTGGAGAGCGTGTCGAGCACCCTCAATGACTGAATGTGATGCCTGGTGTCTGAGCACGAACGAGTTAATGTAGGCTCTGAATTTGTCAGGGACCAGGATCTCGAGAAGATAATGAAGCAATCTCGAGGTCGAAGCCTTGAAAGCGTCATTGTTAATAAAAGAATAGCTGTAAAAACCATTGTTGCCAATGTAATCATAACCATGACACGAGATGTAAGTAGTCGATCCAGGCGAAGCCTGACAGACCCCGTGCGATGTCGCCTGATAACTGGAGATACCGAGGTCAGCAAGAATGACTGGAGTCCCAGTGTTAAGGTTACAGACGATGCGTGTGACAGCAACGGAGTTAAGCGTAAGGTATCTTAACGAGGATGTTGACCATTGTTGACTCGTAAAAATCCATGGCCGCCGTAAGGCGGGGAAGGCGTTTAGCATGTTGATGTTTAGCATGTTGGCCCGCTTAGTGATGCATAGGGAGCCTTGGTGACATACGAGTCTTGGTAAGATAGGACGACATAGGAGTCTTGGTGACAAAGGAGAAGACTTGGTGACGTCGTACGCGGTAAAGCCCGTACATAGAAGCTTTTGGTATTGCACTTCATTCTGAATAAAATGCAGCACATTTCCAATTGCCAAATTGGTCAACATCACAAAAACATTAAAAGAAACATGGTCATACAACCAGTATTATTAAAATGAAACACCGAAAACAAAAACATTATGCGAGTGGTTACTTGTCTGCCTACTGAAAGTCACATTTCCTGGAGCGTTTCTTGTCGATTTCTCAACTTTTACCTTTCTGTTTTATCTATGAAGTTTTAGCAGCTGCATCTATATCGAAAATGAATGTGGCCTGCAAAACGCGCGAAAAGACACTGACAAGCTTCGTTGACCAAGATTTTTTTCAGCGCTTCGTCAGCCGACTTTTTCGTGAACCTCTGCTGCTCGTTTTTCATGCCTAGCTAGCTGCCGACCAAATGAGAGATATTGTAAGGGCAAGTGACTTTGGAAGGGCTGAAATTCCAAGGGTATCGCATTTCGATTTCTTGTTCGATGCAAACAAGTCTCACTTTTCAAACCTCCAAGAAACTTATGTAATAACGTAGCGTGTTGCTTTTCATCCATTGCCCTTTCCACTCCCCAGCGTGAAGAGATAACACCCGCAACCTAAGCCCACGGTAACGCATCACACGTCACGAACCCATCGTTTCCGTCAGTGTTGTGGGTTTCACGACTTCGTCGGAAGGGCAAACCGGATCCAGATGAAACCCACCCCAGTGTCCACACACATTCCGAAGCATTCTCTCAATACTTCTCCTTTCGCCTCCACCACACCTTCCTCCACTTCCCAAACCACTTGAAAATCAAACAGCACTTGAAAATCACGTCACCTGTTCAGAACTCCGGTCCGAATGCTACCTTCGCATTCACGCTTGACTATTCAGCCTCAGACTTCATGACAAGTATTTCAGCCTCAGCAGAAGCAGAAAAGCAGACAAGCATTTCAGCCCCTGTCTGAAAGTATAGGCAGCTCAGGTGCACAGCTCGTTTCTCGTTTGGTGCTTCCACTTTTTCCTTTTCCGTCAGAAATGATGGAGCTTCGCCGCCTCTTCCCCGTCTTGGTCCTGCTCCTCCTCTCCGCCTCGCTTCTTCCACTCGCTTCCTCCCGGGTATTTCCGTCGCAGGCAATGGACCACGAGCGCTCCCCAAGGCAATTCGACTGCAGGTTCGTCGGGACATATCATGGTCAAAATGGGCAGGCCAATTTTTGTGCGAGGCGCAAATGAACATTCCACATGAATCTAAGGCCGCTCGCTATTTTATCGCTAAACTCTACTAAAAGAAAATAACAAATAGTTTTGTTGGGTCCACTCGTCAGCCATTGTTGTGAATCTGCCTTTTTTATTTTTCCCTCCCTTTCAGCAAGACGTCGTGGCCCGAGGTGGTGGGCATGACGGGCGAGGCGGCTCGCGCCTACATCAAGTCGTCCGTGCCGCAGTGCAACTATGACATCGAGATTATCCCTTGGCAGGCTTTGGTCACTGCGGATTATCGCGCCGATCGCATTCGCATCTTCGTGAACGAGGACGGGATTGTTGAAATGATTCCCGTGGTTGGGTAAAAATAACTGTAGTGCAGGTGCACCTGTTTTGGAATATGCATTTATATTTTCTGGTTGGGTGGAGAGAGGAAAACCATTCTTGCTTAGTTGGCGATTAGCGGAACGTAGGTATGTCCAGATCCTCAACGAGTGAAGAACAGTTATGTATATGTGAAGAACGGTTGTACATACATGTGAAGAGTGTATTTCTCAAGCTTTCCAGATTTGGCATTAACCAAATGGGTAGGGCTTCACACAAAGCAGTGTCCTCTTGCTACAATGGCCTCTCTCTTTTCCCATGCATGAGCAATGTATCATCATTAATGCACAAAACCAGTATATTCAGTCTGCATGTCTGCAGCGAGCAGGTGAAATCTGCCCCAACACTGCTTGCAACAGTATGCATCTTCTGCTTCTGGTGGTACACAAACGAGAATGAAGTGTAGGGTGGTGCGATGAAGTAGCTGAGGGACAATAAGACGAAACATCACCTGGGGCAAAGAAGGCAGAATGTGAAGGGGGAGAAGGGGGAGGGGTGAAGAATCACAAAACGAGAATTTCTAGAATATAAGCAAAGAAGGGACAAGCCGAACCAAGAGAGGGCAGAGGAGGTGTAAGGAAGGAGAACAAAGAATTAGGTAAATGGCAAATGAGGGCAAGAAGTGCAAGCATTTGCGATTCTCGCAACTTTTAAATATTTATCATGCAGTTTTGCTACCTACACAGGGCTACAAGCGAGAAGAGGTGAAGGACCAGGGAAGTTAGGTTACTATCAGGTCATTTTTTAGGCATCATAAGAGAGGTGAGAATGGGAAAGTGTGTGAGGAGAAGAGGTGAGCAGGCAGTAATACACGAGGGAGAGAGGAACAGGGGAGTGAGGCAAAGGACCACGGGCATGGTGTGTGCATGGTGTGTACAAGCACACACACATGCGTGTTTGTGAACACACACTCACATACACACAGGCATGAGCAAATTCGAACTGTGTGCATTTCGTGTGCATGGCGTGTGCATGGTGCGTGCACAAGCACGCACACATGGTTCAAAACATGCTGACATGCGTGTTTAGGAACACACGCACACATAGACATGAGCAAATGTCCAAACTCCAAGTGGTTCGACTTGAACCAGGTCGATCCGTCTTGCTAGTCAAATGAAATCGGTTCACTTCATGTCGAATCGAACCAAATTCAGTACATGGGGAGTACAAAATTTGACCAGCAGATTCGAACTTCACAGCCGCTTCGAGTCGGTTCGCCTTGTACTTTCATTCTAATCACACAGTTTAATTTTTGGGTTTTTTGGGGGGGTGGAACCAGTCATGGGGGTTGTGGTGGTACGAGAAAAAAACATTCTAACTTTCGTACTATCTAACCTGTTGCGGTGGCGGCTCGAATATAAGGGGGTTTCTTTAGTGAAAAGGGGATGGGTAGGTGAGAGAAGACATTTAAGAACTGCAATCTGAGAGTTGGAGTCGATTTTTGAGTCGACTCAAAAATCGATCTATCACCTGAGAATTGGAGCTAATCGTAGTGGACGATTCTCTGTCAAGCAGGAAAGTGGGGGTGGGGGGGAGGAGAGGGGGGAAGGGGAAGGGGGTTGCGGGGGGGGGAGGGGGGGAGGTTCCGCATTCCCCCCCCCCCCCCCCATAGTTCAACTCGAGAACACCAATTGCTTCGAATTGGTTCACTTGAAAGAAACTCAAGCAATAGTGTCAAATCGAACAATTCGACTTGAACCGTTTGGCGACCCCCCCCCCCCCCCCCCCCCCCCCCCCCCCCACACACACACACACACACATGCACACACACACACACACACACACACACACACACACACACACACATGCACACGCACACGCACACACACACACACACACACACATGCACACACACACACACACACACACACACACACACACACACACACACACACAAAAACTAATCGAACCACAGATACATCATGGGCTCATGTCTTCACACACATGCATTTGGAGGACACATGCACACATACAGCACACAACACATGCACACATACAGCACACAACACATGCACACATACAGCACACAACACATGCACAGATACTTTTTGAGGACACACACATACATCTCTGAGTTAACGCACACATACATTCTAGACCCATACATGCTTTGGACCCATTGGGAGCTCGAAAGGAGCTCCTGGAAAACGGGGGCAGGGGGAAGAGGGGGAGAAACGGGGCAGGGGGAAGAGGGGGAGAAACGGGGCAGGGGGGAGAGGGGGAGAAACGGGGCAGGGGGAAGAGGGGGAGAAACGGGGGTAGGGGGAAGGAGAGGAGAAGTTAAGGGTTGGGAGTGTCCGAGTGGGGATGGGGGGACGAAAAAATCGGGTGGATAGTGTGTAGATGGGCAGGTGGTTTTACCTGGAAAAGGGTTGACAGGGGGGAGAGGATCGGGGAACTTTGGTACAGGGCGTGAATGATTGGTCGAGGATCTTTCACACCCATCTGTCTCACACCCATCATCATCCTTTCACACCCATCATCATCCTTTCACACCCATCATCATCCTTTCACACCCATCACTATCGTCTCACACCCATCCTTTTCGTCTGCACCTGAACCAAAATGTAGGAAAACAGACGCGCCACCTCAACCCATCTTTTCTTACAGACGAACGCGCCCAGCTTCTTGATCTCACCCATCTTCACCGCGCTGTAACGATCCTGCACCGTCTCCTGTTCCCCCATTTGATCCACTGCGAACGCGCTTAGCTTCTTGATCTCACCTCAACCCCCGCCGTTTTCCTCACGCCACTTCGTCTCACACCCATCTTCACCGCGCAATAACGATCCTACACCATCTCCTTTTCCTCCACCCGAGCCACTGCGAACGAGTCTAGCTCACTCATCTCACCTCAACCCCCGCCGTTTCCCTGACGCCACTTCGTCTCACACCCATCTTCACCGCGCTATAACAATCCTACACCGTCTCCTTTACCCCACCTGAGCCACTGCGAACGAGTCTAGCTCACTCATCTCACCCTAACCCCCGCCGTCTCCCTGACGCTACTTCTCCCCCCGCTGTAAGCCCCGCTGTTAGCCCCGCTGTTAGCCCCGCTGTTAGCCCCGCTGTTAGCCCCGTTGCTAGCCTCGCTTCTCCCTCCGCTTCTCCCTCCGCTTCTCCCTCCGCTTCTCCCTCCGCTTCTCCCTCCGCTTCTACCCCCGCTGCTCCCCCCGCTGTTAGCCCCGATTTTCCCCCGCTGCTTCTTCCCCTGCTTCCCCCACTCCTTCCCCCGCCGCCGCCCCTCTAGCGTGCGCCGATGCGCCCCACTACTTCCCACTAGCGCGGGAGCTTGCGTGGCGGAGAATGCCTGTGCGAGTAACGAGGGGAGCCCATAACGAGAAATTTACATTGACGGAAGGATTGTATTCCGTAGCAAGCGATGACCGCTTGACTGGCGACGTGGGTGCGACAGTGCGTGCGACGGTGAGTGCGACAGTGCGTGCGACAGTCAGTGCGACTGTGTTAACGAGCTAGCGACTTTGCAGCGACACCAAGAGACTCTAGGCTTTGGACGCGATTGCGAAGCATATTGTCACAATTGCAAGGACAGAGGTGGTAAAGAGGCGACGAAATATCTAATTCATTTAAATGGGCGAATACACAGCGAGATCGTGAGCGGGGAGCCTCTGAAACGATTCAAAGGAGAACTGCGGATCTGCGCAACGGGACAAGGAGGTATGGAGGAATTTGGAACTGTAGCAAGCAATGTGTTTGGTCAGAGCTACTACTGCTAGTTCGTAAATTACACATGTAGGAGCTTTGGGTGAGGTCGTATGCGGTAAAGAACGAACATGCACTTTATGTAGAATAGAATGCAGCGCGTTTTCATTCGCTATATCCTTCAATATTTCACAGTAGAAGAAAATATAATATAATTGTGGTTTCACATGCTTGAGATATGATAGTTTTTAAAACGAAAAATTTAACCTTGCTACTTCTTCCTGGTTGCCCGCCTTTCTTGCATTAAAGATATGTTTTTCTTTTTAATATATCACCTTCCTGGCTCGTAAACTTTAACAGCTGAATCTATATCGAAAATGAATGGAGCTTGGGAAATGTGTCTTCCAAGACGCTGCCAAGCCCCGTTGACCACAACTTGTGTCTGCTGCAGCACTTCATCTCATCAGCCGCCTTTCACCATTCGTAAGAACTTCCACCATTCGTTCTTTCCCAGGTATCTGCCGGCCAGTTGAGATATTAGGGCGTGTGTGATGATGGAAATTGGCCAAGTTTACAGTTTTTTGGTCGCATGTAGCATCTGAACATGAGCCGAACAGTGTTCGACTTCCGCTGAACGTGAAGTTTGAGCCGCGCAAAACATTTTCAGGTATGTCAAATCACACCCCAGGTCGAATTTGAATGTTCGACCTTATAGGGAGTGCACCGAGACGCTCGTAGGGGATGTAGGTTACCAGGTATAATTCCGTAGACATCGTGCCACGTCAACATACTGACTTTGGTTTTCAGCGGAGGTTTTATTGCGTCGTGTTGTTTCGCCAAATTCGCTTCTCGTCGTACATGCGCAAAACAACACACGCTCGGCTCACTGTACGCGCCCACATTTATGCATTGACTCGAGTCGAGTTCGGAGAAGTCGGGTCGCATTTGCGAAGTGTTCAAAGAAAAGACTTTTGTCACACGGCTTTCGCGACGTTGCTGAAGCTGGTAACCAAAAAAAGTTCGACCTGTTTTTCGAACCTAGAATAAAATCACACACGCCCTCAGCTAGTGACAAGATAGTGCTCAACCTTCAAGGGTGTCGTATTTCATTTTCACGCCTTCATAGCTAAAGCCTCCAAGCGTGTTAGCGTAGATGACGCTCTCCCGTAATTTTCGGATGGGTTTGATGTGGTGCTCAAAAGGGTGAACCCGAACCACATAATACCCACCTCGAATGTCCACATTCCGAAGGATTCTCGATTCTTCTCCTTCCACCTACACCACACATCCCCCCACTTCCTGAGCCGCTTCAATTTCACTCGTTCGGAAGTTTGGAATGCCATTCCACTCGTCAGTCAAGCTTCCTCCTTAGTCAAACATGAGAGGTATTTAAACCTCAGAAGCAAAAGCATTTTCTTATCAGTGTTGCATTGCAAACCCAGCTGCTTCACAAGCCAGCTTCTTTATCGTTCGGAGCTTCCTCTCTCTTGTCCGTCAAGAATGGAGCTTCGCCGTCTCTTCCCCGTCTTGGTCCTGCTCCTCCTCTCCGCGCTTCTTCCGCTCGCTTCCTCCCGAGCATATCCGTCGCAGGCAGTCGGCCGCCCGCGACCCCGAGTGTATCCGCACGCTAGCGAATTTGACTGCAGGTATGTCGGGACTGTGTTAATCGTTTCCATGGTTGCTCACTATAGTCCCTGAATTCCCCAAGAATTTTGTTCGTCATCATTCTACCTTTTTTCTTGGTAAATCGTCCGTTTCTTTCCCTCCATTTCAGCAAGACGTCGTGGCCCGAGGTGGTGGGCATGACGGGTGAGGCGGCTCGCGATTTCATCCAGTCTGCTGTGCCGCAGTGCAACTGGTACATCCAGATCGTCCCGTTTGGGATGATGGTTACCATGGATTATCGCACCGACCGCATTCGCATCTTCGTGAACGCGGACGGAATTGTGGAGGCAATTCCTGTCGTCGGGTGAAGACACTATAATGAGATGCAATCTACAGTTCTGGTTAACGACATGCATACAGTGGTCAGTGTGCACATGTGAAGAACTGTGTGTGATGAAGAACAGGCCATCTATTCACCGACATTTGTCCGTTTTCCCTGAGAATTCAGGGCTAGGTTCAGCTCAGCTCGGAGATTTTCAGGGTTACTTCTGGCCCTGACCCAGATCCCTGAGAGACAGGTTTGGGGCCTTCCCCGGATTTCCTGCGTATCTGCACCCCCCTCCCCCCCACCTCCTACCCTCCTCCTTGACCTTTAGACCTCCAACATGCCCCTCTCCCCGCCCCACCCAACAACCCCACCCCCCCTAATGAAGAACTGTTATGTAATGAATAACTGTATGAGGAGTCGTATGAACTCATAATTGATTTAAAAAGAGCAGGAGAAATCTGCCCAGCACTGCCTTCACGGCTCTGCTTCTCCTGCTCCTGATGGTACAAATTGGGTCATTACGACAATATATACACTAATCTTGTAATGCCGTATATACAAGGCAGAATATGAAGTGGGGAGGGGGAGAGAGGGGGGAGGAGCATAAAATGAGAAGACAGGCATAGAAGAGACAAACAGGTGTAAGGACAGGGAGCAAGGAAATATGTGAAGGGAAATGAGGGTGGAAAGTGGAAGCACTTGGGTACAAATCTTACTTTGAAAAGGACCATCCTTTACGAAACTTGGCTATCATCACACGTCTTTTGCTATCAAATACGAGGCTTGACAACAATCACACAGTTTTGCGACATTCACATTCATACACATGGCCACAAGTGAGTTGAGAAGGGGAAAGAGTGTGGGTAGAAAAGCGGAGCAGGGAGTGGCAGGTACACAAGGGAGTGAGGAACAGCAGGTAAGCGATGTTTTTTTTTAGGCGCCTCAAGAGAGGCGAGAATGGGGAGCAGTGTGAGGAGAAGAGTGGGACACACAGTGGTACACAAGGGATATTTTTCTAGGCGCCCAGGCAGTGGCGCCCAGGCAGTGTGAGGAGAAGAGTGGGACACACAGTGGTACATGAACGGAAAGAGGAAAGGGGAGTTGAGGGTAGGGGGAGGTTAGGGAATTGTGAAAGAAGGTAGAGGGAGGGAGGGGGAGTGTTGGAAGGGAGCGGGGGAGCAAGTGAGAGGGGGGACTTTGAGGGTAGGGCAGGGTGCGACAATAAGTGTGCTTGAAGGAGGCTGTGAGAAGAGAGAGCATGAGGAGGTGCGGGCAGGTAAAAAAAGACGACTCCTTTGGTTGGGGGAAACGAGGGAAGGGGAGTGAGGGCAGGGGAATGATTGAAGGGGAGTGAGAGAAGGAGGGTGAGGGGAGGGAAGTGACAGTAGAAGGGATGAGGAGTTAGAGAAGGAGAACTAAGGAAGGGGAACGAAGGAAGGGGCACGAGTTAAGAGGGGCGAGTGAAGGTGAATGAGGGAAGGGGAGTGAGAGAAGGAGAATCGGGCAAGGGGAGTGAGGGAAGGGCGAGTAAGAAAACGGTTCGCATGAGGCAGAGTTAGGGGTAGAGAAGAGTTTTCCGGAACCCAGGGGTGTGACGAAGGGGATGATGGGTAGAGAGGGGATGAGCAGATGCCAGGAGCATGGGAGGGACGATGGGAAGGTGGTGAAAGGCGGGCACATGAGGAGGTAGGGGATGGAGAGGGAGAAAAGAGTTACCTGGCATTGACTCAGGGCGAGATGAGGGAGTGAGCAGATGCCAGGAGCATGGGAGGGACGATGGGAAGGTGGGTATTGTGTCGTGTGCCGTTGTAACGAGGTGACTTTTGAGTCGACTCGAAAGTCACCTCGTTACAATGGCACAGGAGCTTAAGAGGGACGATGGGAAGGTGGGTTACGGCTCTTGTGGAGTTACGAGTATTCATGGTTGCTCATGAATGAGGATGCTGCTGCTGCTGCCGCCGCCGCCGCCGCCACCGCCGCCGCCGCCGCCGCCGCCGCTGCTGCAAAAACGGGAACCAATGTGAGGAGGGGGGGACTGGGATAGGAAAGTGTAAATAATTTTCACATGACATGCAGGGTATCTTTCCTACAAAAAGTGTTCAATTGCCAACCTTCTACACACGGCATTGACCACGTTGGGAAGTGGATGTTTACTGTCAGAAGGGTGGGGTGCCAATGCGACTCGGTGGGGCTGGGAACATGTGCATGGAGTGTGCATGGTGTGTGCATTGTGTGTGCATGGTGTGTGCATGGTGTGTGCATGTAAGCGTGGTGTATATGAACCCAGCCGAGAGGATTTAGGTCCCCAACCAACCATGGGTGGGGCCTAAGGTTACTCGATTGGTTTGGGGTGTATCCATGCATCGTGAGTCCATCATTTGGGCGACCTGTGGGTAGGTATGTGTGTGTGTGTGTGTGTGTGTGGTGTGAGCGTGTATGTGTGTGTCTGGGAGTGCGTGTATGTGTGCGAGTGCGTGGTACTATAAGGGTGTACGCGCCGTGTGTGCATAATGGGTCTTGGGGGATGTGCGTGTGTGGCATGAGCATGTACGCGCCATGTGAGCATGGTGAGTGAGTGTATGATGTGTGCATGCTGTATGCATAATGTGCCTGGGGGAGTGTGCGTATTTGGTATGAGCGTGCGCGTCTTAACCCCCACCGTTTCGCTAAAATCCGGCGCTGCTATCCCCCTCCGCTCCCCTACCGTTTCCCCCGCCGCTCCCCATCGCCGATCCCCCAGTGAAGCGCGCCGATGCGGCGCCACCACGCAGTAGATGATCTGCCGCGCGTTTTCCGCGCGCCTCCTCCCTAGGATAAAGGAAAAACACTATCCGAAGGGAGGATCGGCGGTACGTCCATCCCCTGTGGTGAGCTACACAGTGAAGCATCCCCTACCCGTTCAGTGAAGCTACACTGGCCTAAAGCTGCCTTGAAGCGTGGAGCTTCGGCGGTGAAGGCAGCCCGTGCGGGTAGCGAGCCAGTCCATAACGAGGAATTTACAAGGAGAGGGTATTGCGACAAGCGACGAGCACTGAATGGCGACAGTGCGTACGACAGTGCATGCGACGGTGCGTGCGACATATTGTGTGACGATTCATTAGACATACGATGCGAATCTTTGCGCTACATTGACTTGCATCAAGATTAGAAATCCCCGATGGTGAACTGTCGAGCCGCGGAAAACAGTGGCGAAGAGATGACGGATTATACGTATTAGGGCGAGTGGCGAGGTCACGACGCGGACACATCATGGCGAAACTTGGTAGGAACACGTTCAGCAGATGAAGAGAAGCTTGGGTAGGGTCGTATACCATAAAGCCTGTTTATGAAAGGAAGATGGACTGTTTTGCAATTTTCACCTTTGCGTCCTTTTAGCAAGTCATTTCATATCGGAACTATTTGTAGCCTGCAGAACATGCCAAGCCCTATTGACCTCCCTCCCACACGCGATTTCATCAGCGAACTATGTCGCCAGAACTTCCATTCCATTGTTCGTTTTCCTAGTTACCTGCAGATACCGACCACGTCAGATGAGACCTGTAGTAGTATCCGACAGGACACTTGACGGAGTGCTGGACGGACTCAAGGAGTCCTTCGAATGGCCTGGAAGGGCGTCGCATCGCAACGCATGACGATTTTTTGGAGCTTGAAGAAACCGAAACTTCCTTTATATACTTGAATAAACCCAAAAAGTTTCTAACAATCCCCTTCGCAATCCTCCCAGGCGCCGCTACTAAACAAATTTGTTTAGTATAGTGTATATCATACCGTGACAGCACCTGCGAAAACTTTCACTTGTCCGACTCTCAGCGTTAACAAATGAACACTACCCGTCCCGAGCCGCTTTAATCGCGACGTCGTATTTTCCGAGTCAACCGTGACGATGCGTGCTCATCATACTGTTGGCGTGTGGGTGGGTGTGCAATGCTCACTAAGCATGTTCCGATTCTGCGACGTCCATGCTCAGCCTAAATTCGCTTCTTTGTTTCACCAGCGAGAGCACTACATGATGAGCAGCAGCATCTTCAGTCTCATGTATGCTCCTCTGTTTCACGAGCCCGTTTCTCAATCGTTCCGTGCTTCCTCTCTCTGTCCCGTTAACAATGGAGCATCGCCGTCTCTTTTCCGTCTTGGCTTTGCTCCTGCTCTCCGTCTCGCTGCTTCCCCTCGCTTCCTCTCTAAGATTCCCGTGGCCGCAGGCTAACGGTCTCCCGAAACCTTCAAAGCAACCCGACCAGAAATCCCCAAAGCAACCTCTCTCTGTCCCGTTAACAATGGAGCATCGCCGTCTCTTTTCCGTCTTGGCTTTGCTCCTGCTCTCCGTCTCGCTGCTTCCCCTCGCTTCCTCTCTAAGATTCCCGTGGCCGCAGGCTAACGGTCTCCCGAAACCTTCAAAGCAACCCGACCAGAAATCCCCAAAGCAACCCGACCCGAAATCCCCAAAGCAGGTCGACCCGAAATCCCCAAAGCAAGTCGACCCGAAATCCCCAGAGCAACTCGACTGCAGGTTCGTCGGGACTTCTTGAAGTACGCAGTAAACGATGTGTTAGTTCTAGGGTTGGAAATAAGTCAGCAGGCTAAGTCGCTTGCGGGTGAACCAGGTTTCTCGTATTCGTCCCCTGCATACCTTAAATGTGCGTGAATCGACAATAATCGCGTGGATCTTGTGTATCATTCTCTCCTCTTCTTTCAGCAAGACGTCATGGCCCGAGGTGCTCGGTATGACGGGCGACGCGGCTCGCTCTTACATCCAGGAGTCTTTGCCGCAGTGCAACTGGGACATTGAGATCATCCCGAACCGGAAATTTGTTACCATGCAGTATCGCGACGATCGCATTCGCATCTTCGTGGACTCCAGCGGGGTTGTTCAGAGAATCCCCATGGTTGGGTGAAGGGTGCCTGAAGTGAACGTCTGATTTATGTCGGTAAATGTCAGCCCCTTTGAGTGGCTCATGCTTTGTGTAAACATCAGGTGGTAATGATTTGTCACGCTTACAATATCAGATTCAACAGTAGGGTACCGTACATTCCTGGCTCGCT